AATTAAAAAATTTTTTATAAATAAAAATGAATTTTTTAATTATTATTTTGGAGATTTTTAAAATAGATAAAAAATTTTTTAAATGGTAATTAGTTCGTGCAAAATTCTGTACTTTTAATGTTAAAAAAATTAATGAATTAGCCTAATTTTTTTTTACAACTTAATTTTTGTAAAAAATTATTTTAGTCACTTATAATTTTAATTTTTGATAATCTTTATAATTATTCAATAAATCACTTAATTTAATTTTAATGAATAGCATTAAAAATAAAAATTGATCATAAATAAATCAAGTAATTAATGTCAATTATTTTTTTGGAGATATTTAAGATTGATAAAAAAATTTTTTATAAATAAAAATTAATTTTTTATGTTAATTATTTTTTTGGAGATTTTTAAGATCGATAAAAAAATTTTTAAATGGTAATTAGTTTGTGCAAAATTCCGTACTATTAATGTTTACAAAAAAATTAATGAATTAGCCTAATTTTTTTTTTACAACTTAATTTTTGTAAAAAATTATTTTAGTCACTTATAAATTTAATTTTTGATAATCTTTATAATTATTCAATAAATCACTTAATGTAATTTTAATGAATAGCATTAAAAATAAAAATCGATGATAAATAAATCAAGTAATTATAATAAGTGGTAATTAAACTGAGAATCACTGTACTGGGAGGGGCAATAAGAATCTCCAGCCTTACATTTAAGAAAAACACATAACGCAGACTTAAACCTGACGTATATAGTATTACTATCTCAATCCATACGCAAATGAGTCTTGTATTATTATTACTCTGTTCCCTTGTGCTTGGTACATTAAAAATAAAATAATGTAAGCGCAATCTCGTGTTAATTCAAACATTATAACCTTATTTTACGCGCTCGTATGCATTACCAGCATCCAACGTCTACCATATATAATATAATACAATATAAAGTATAAATATACACATAATTTATATAATACACCCGCGAGTGTGAAGTATGAAGTACTGAGCGTGTGTGAGTGTGTTGTGAGAAATGAGCGTGGGGCGTGGGGTGGCGTTGATGGGCAAGCAAATCAAAGCCACTCAAAGAAATAACCAGTGCTCATTAAGAGCAATAATCCATGATCATCTTCTTCTTTCTTCGCCCCTCGATCCTTCCATACTCATTTCATTTCATTAACGTCATTATACATTCACACACATGTGTATGTTCATACATACGCTCGATTCATGTTTCTCTTATTAAGCCGATTGTTTCAAGGGTGTCACACACAAATTGCCAAGTGTATTCTATTAACTCTATCACCAATCATCATCGCTAATCTTCCTGATTATATTTCGCCTAGTTAAGCTTCACATTCTCACGTTAAGCTCTTTTATAAAAAAAAAACAAATTTTTATTTTTATAAATTATACACAGCAAAAAATTTTGGGTTAAAAATTTTTATGTTAAATATTTAATATTTTTTTGTATTGATTTAACAGAATAAATGTTAAATTTATACATAAAAGTGTTAAATATTTAACACTGTTTTTTGACGCAAAATTTTTTACTGTGTAGGTTGAAAAACTAAAAAATATTATTTTAATTGATATTAAGCCAAATTAAAAGAGTAAAAAATAATTGCAAAAAAATTTTTAATAAGTTCAAAATAAAAATGATTAATTAAAAAAATTTGTGAAGTGCTTGATGAAATCTTTGTCAATTTTTTTAGGTTTATTTTATAAAAGTAAAATTTTTACAAAAATATCCTTAAACACACTTGACACAGAAAAAAAATCCTGTCAACAAAAACTGTTAACCTGAAAATATCAATTTTATATTGCAAAAAATCTAAAGTAAAAAAAAGTTTTAATTTTATAAAATTATGAAATTTTTTAAATTAAAATTAATTTCCAAATTTTTTAGTATAATTAAAAATCATAATAATATTTCATTAAATTAAAAAAAGGAAATATTTACTGTGGTTCTATAGATCATGTATATTTAAGCCGAGAAATTAGTCATCTATTAATATCCTGATCCTGATCAGGACACTAAAGTAAAATCAATAAATGATTCTATTGTCATTAATCTTTGAAACGTCTACAAATTTTTAAATTAATCACACACCTTAAATACGATAAAAACGACAAAAGATTTTTGTCACCAGAAATTTTATTTCTAATCCCGAGTAAAAATTTCGTAGGCTTTAAATTATTACAACCAAGTAAACACGTTGGGTATAAATCTACTTGATTAATTAACTACTTATAAATTATTTCAGATAAGAAAGTAATGTAATATCCTCAAATATTGTTATTTTTGACTTTACTATGAAAAAAGACCCGAGTATTTTTAATTAGTCATTGAAAAAAAAATCAAACATTAAGATGATCCACAACAACATAAAACCCACAAATGTTATTTATTTTTTCAAGGCTTTCGTGACCTTAGTTTCTCTTACAAATTATCGGAATCGATAATTCTATGTACAAATAATTTAAAAGATAGAGATGTTATTCACTAAAAAAATACGTTATCTCCCGGAACGATGTTTGCTTCCAGTGGACTTGATTCTAGGTGTTGGTGCTCGGCATACTCGCGTAAAAATCATATGTAATGGCGATGGCATGGGGTATGCGTGCAATGTTATTGTATATTCTCCGTAGCACATAATCTCTTATGAGTAATGTATGATATGTAATAATGTGCAAAATCGTTTATAGAGTAAGAGATCTCGGGACTCGAGGCTCGAGCACTAAGCAGACGGGAAATAAAATTAAAGGTTTTTTTTAAAATATGAGAATTGTTGACACGAGAGGCGCGATCGAGCAAAGACGGATAAACGCGTCCGTGGGAAGAACGTTGGTCAAATAAAAGATTGCGGGTTTGAACAGTGGTTCTCACTTTCATACCCATATACATATATACACACATACACAAATGCATGTATTAGGCCATTAAATAAACACGGAAGTGATATATATGTATTTTTAATAGTTTTATCTCCTTTAATATTATTACACACTTATTCATAATTATAGACTCATGATATCTTTATTCATGTTTACTGTTATTAAATCATTAACTATTTTACGGAATTCCCAGTACTGGAAGTTTTTTTGCCAGTAAATTCTTTAGTGAGAAGGTTGTAATTAAAAATCAATTTATTATTTCTATTTTTTTTTTTTTGCAAGACTTTTAAATTATTTGATCGAACAAATTTATATAAACATTCGTAAAAATTTTTAAAGTATTACACATTAGTTTTTTAGGTAATTATTTACAAGTGGGGTTGACCCCACTTTGGGCCATAACTAGGTGAAAAATTAACATTTATGATAAAAAATGTCATGAAAGAAAAAAGTAAAGATTTCGATAGCTTTTTTGCCTTCAAAAGTTGGAAAAAATTTTGGCTCTCATGTTTTTGGATAAAATTTTTATTTTATCTTTTTTTTATGTTTTTGATATATTTTTTTTTCTGAAAAATACATAAAAAAATAAACAATTTAAAAAAAAAGTTGAATATCACAATTTTCTCAAACATTGATAAATTTTTTTGAAAATTTGTTAAAATTGTGATAATCAACTTTTTTTTTAAATTGTTTATTTTTTTATGTAATTAAAAACAAATATATCAATAAAATCAAATAAAAAATTTTCGATCTTATGTTTTTGGATAAAATTTCTATTTTATCTTTTTTTGATGTTTTTGATATATTTTTTTTTAAAAAGTACATAAAAAATCGAACAATTTATAAAAAAAAAGTTGGATATCACAATTTTCTAAAAAATTGATAAATTTTTTTGAAAATTTGTTAAAATTGTGATAATCAACTTTTTTTTTAAATTGTTTATTTTTTTATGTAATTAAAAACAAATATATCAATAAAATCAAATAAAAAATTTTCGATCTTATGTTTTTGGATAAAATTTCTATTTTATCTTTTTTTGATGTTTTTGATATATTTTTTTTTAAAAAGTACATAAAAAATCGAACAATTTATAAAAAAAAAGTTGGATATCACAATTTTCTAAAAAATTTATAAATTTTTTTGAAAATTTGTTAAAATTGTGATAATCATCTTTTTTTTTAAATTGTTTATTTTTTTGTCTATTTAAAAAAAAAAAATTATCAATAAAATCAAATATTTGTAAATATTTACCTTTTTTTATTGTTTATTAAGAAAAAAAAATTGCATTCGAGTCGAAAAATTGATATTTTTTTTTCAATTTCTGCAAAATAAAAATAAAAATCAAATATTTGTAAATTTTTATTTTCACGATATTCGTAAATTTGCCTTTGAAATTTTTCAATCTTTTTTTTAATCTATTACGACTGACAGTATGAGTTAAAGAAAATAAAAAAAAATAGTTTTATTGAAAAGATAGCAACATAAGAAAAGTAGGAGGCAGAGGCATGTTCGATTAAACTCTCATCTAGAATCTAGAATTGATTTGTACTGACTTAGTTGTCATAATATAGTAGATGTAGATGTATCTGCATGATATTAATATCTGTGTTTGTATGTATGGGAGGATCTATAGAGGTATATAGCCGGGTTATAGGTATGTAGGTATAGTATAGACATGATCGAGGTAGAATTTATGTGAAACCTGTTTCGCCTTGGGACAGGTAAATTGGCAGTTATTAGCCTGCCCGTGGGGCCGAGATACATTGATGGGATAATTTCTCTCTATCGTTGTCTACTCACACTCGAACACGTTTCTTTATTTTTTATCGTTCAGAGAAATTATAAAAAATGTTTAATATGACGGATTAGCGGGTAATCGACTATTAGGGCTGGAGTTTGTTTTTTAAGAAATTTTTCATTTTTATAATATAAGTTAATTGTTAGAATAATAGATAAATTTATATTGAGGAATTTTTCAAGTTTAAATGCGAATTTTGGTACAATGTATGCCTGATGATTTCATTTCATGTTTGTTGATTCGGCTAATCAAATGGGTGACAGGTTTATGGGATGACGCGCGTGGGTAACGTAGCTTGTATTTGATACCAGATGAGAGTCGTTACGAGGCAGGAAGTGTTAATGATACCCCTGGTTATTCACCGAACACTCTCCTGTAATTATTGTACGATAGCCGTGGTTTAGTAAAGATGGAACAGGAGTTTGATGCGATGAATCGAGACTCAACAGAATGCTTTAATATTTTTATTAAAAATCCGGGTTTTTTATTTGTAATTTTTGATAGGCTTCTATATATGGCCAATACTTGAATTTTTGCAAATATTTATTATCAATAATTTAAAAATTTAATTTTTTTTTTCCATAAATATTTTTTATGGAACAAATATTTTGATAAAAATTAAATAAGAAAAATTTGTTTGCAATTCAAAAATTTATATATTTTTTAAATTTTAAGCTTTTATTAATATTAGAAAATTGATCGCGCTTTGCGCTTAGCTTATATCGTTCAAAATATCATTATATTACATAAAATACAACGTAATTTCTTTATTATTGACATTTTTTTTAGACATAAGCTCATCTTGATGTTACGCTCATCGAGAGCTTTCATTTGAGTACAAACACGGTTTTTTCCATATATTTTATATATGTGATATTTCTCATATTTGTGAAATATATAAAATATATAAAAAAAATTTGTGTGGGTATTCAAATGAAAGGTATCGATGAGTGTAATGTCGGAGTAAGCTTATATCTTTAAAAATGTTAATAGTTCACAAGATACAACGTCATTTCTTTATTATTGACATTTTTTTTAGATATAAGCTCATCCTGATGTTACGCTCATCGAGAGTTTTCATTTGAGTACAAACACGATTTTTTTTTCATATATTTTATATATATGATATTTCTCATATTTGTGAAATATATAAAATATATTAAAAATTCGTGTGGGTATTCAAATGAAAGATCTCGATAAGTGTAACTCCAGGACGAGCTTATATCGTTAAAAATATCATCAGCAGACAAAATACAACGTCATTTCTTAATTATTGACATTTTTAAAGATATAAACTCATCCTGATGTTACGCTCATCGAGATCTTTTATTTGAGTACCCACATGGCATTTTTTATATATTTTATATTTATGGTATTTATGAAATATATAAATATATAAAATATATGAAAAATTGATGTGGGTACTCAAATGAAAGGTCTCGATGAGTATAACATCAGAACGAGCTTATATCTTTAAGAATGTCAATGGTTCTCAAGATACAAGGTCATTTCTTAATTATTGACATTTTTTAAGATATAAGCTCATCAATAATTAAAAAAAATGAATATTTATAAAAAAAATTAATAAAAAAAAATATTATTTGGTTTCAGTAGCGACTACAAGCCTAAACCCGAGCATAGGACTGATGTCGCTGCCAGTGGAGAACGGTCCATCTGTCCAGGTGCCGCGTTCGCTGATGCAAGCCTTCCTGAAGCAGGACCCGAACCACCCCGGCCTGGAAACCGTGCGTCTGCCGAACCCGCTGGTCGGTAATGAAGAGCCCAGCCCACTTCCGCCATACTGCCGCGAAATAGAATCCGAAGTTTGCCTGGTCTGTCGGCGCTGCGGTCGTGCGTATCCTCAAGAATCCTCCCTGTTGACGCACCAGCGGTCCTGCTATTTGGGCAACCAACAGCGCCGAGGGGCCTTGCGTCTAGTTCAGGCCCGCTTCAGCTGCAGTTTGTGCGACACCGCGGCCTCTACTCGGACCTACGGCACCCTCAACGAGTGGCGCCGCCACGCGGAGACCGTACAACACCGCGCGAGGCTCGAGTCTCTTCAAATTCAGCAGCGAACTTCAGGGTCTTCAAACTTCGGTCAATTTTCCAGTCCGGACTTCAATTTGGGGCTCAATCTCGGCCAAGACGCTACCGATGAAGAAGCGAACCCTCTTGTCGACGAAATGGAGGACGTTGTAAACCAAATTACGCTTCTCGCGGCCCGCGCAGCCGCAGAAAGCACGTCCACGAGCACTCCGAGCGCGGTTGTTTCTCAGGACAACAATAATGGCGAAGCTAAGCGGCAAAAATTGGTCCAGGAAGTCGCGGCCTTGGCTGGAGCACGTTAAATTTTTTTTTTTTCATCATCTAAGAGCTCAATTTACCGATTAAAGACTTTTACGAGGGGAAGGGAATGATTTTTTATTTATTGGTTAATTAACTAATTAATTAACTAATTAATTAGAGACAAACTGGTTACTTGGGTAGTAAAGAATTATTAATTAATTACTAATAATAATTATCATCAAATATTTTAATGATGATGATTATTATTACTTAATTTATGGGGCTACGGTGCGAAGGTGATAGTGATAATGATAATGATAAGTGTACGGACTATAAAATAAAAAGACAAAAATTGTAATGACCGAATATAAGTGATTTGTAAACAGGCTTTAATGTTAATTAAAGAAAACGAAAATAAACTAATGTACTGATTTTGTTATTTAAATAGTACATTACTGTAGTTTCGTTGTACTGTGTGTATTATTTTAGTAGGCAAGACGCGTCTCGATGCGCGCACTCAACGAAGTTCCTCTAAGTTAACTATTAATTATATTTATATGGTGATTATTTTTAGTTATTAGTTATTAATTATTAATTATTAATTATTGTGAAATGGTAAATATTGATATTGTAATTTAGTTGGGCGAAAACGTACGTAAAAATTTCGGAATTGGGATGTAATGAGAGAAATGGCACGACGACGGCGTCGTGATGGTCTGACTAACGTTCCTATGTAAAGTTTTATTATTATTAATAATTTAAGGGATGGATAAAAAGGTAATTGGAGGTTGTTTTTAGGTAGGGTTGTTTTTTTGTTGTCACACTCTTTCTATTCACTTGCTCTCTCTTTCTCTCTCTGACACTTTCATCTACAGACTCTAACATTGGAAAATGCACGGAAAATTTTTTTTATAAATTCAAGTGATTGTTAAATCTTTTCAAGAGAATATTAGTGTACTACTTACTTGTGAAAATAAATTATTTATTGACTAACAATAATAAAATTAAAAAGTTAGATTTGATAAAAATTTTTCCGTGTATTTTAAATAATTTTTCGGCTGTTTTATATTAAAATTCGATCGAAAATTTTTTAATTTAATAAATGATAAAATTAAATGAATCATTTATTTAAAAAATGCAATAAATTTCTTCACGTAAGAAAAATTAACAACGAAGAATTTAAAAACATTTTTTTTTAAATAAAAATTTAATCAATTTTGATTAAAAACAGTCACTATTTTTCAAACATAAAAAAAAACAAGGTTCCCAGCGTTAATGCGCGCGCATCAAGACACTTGAATTTATTTGCAACACTATAATTTAAGCTTCTTATAATTAAATAAAATAGAAAAAAGTAGCGTTGTAAAAATAAAACAAATCACTGTCACCCAACACTCGAATGTGACTTTAAATAAAAAAACAAAAGCTGGAACTGACACTAGATATCAATACACACATAATCTTGTATTATCAATAATCACAATAAAAAATAAGATCGACACGGACTAGGAGTTTTAACGCACGGTTTTTATGCTGGGACGCGAGTTGTAAGTGAATTTTTAAAATTCAAACTCGCGGGGAGATACGCGATTACCTAATAAAAGGAAACGACAATGATTGATCGTAATCATTAACACAAGACTTGACAATTCGAGCACCAATTGCACTGAGTGCGACTACAAATGACGGAATAAAGTTGAGAATAAAAGAAAAAAAAAAAATACTAATAATAAATTGATGAAATGAAAACCCAGCAACATGGTTCCTATATTTAATAAATTATATTTAATAATGGTGAATAAAATGAAGAAAAAAAATGATTAATATTAAATATAGTAAGATTAATAATTATAACAATAATAAACAATATTTATAGTTGTTAATAGTAACGGTTTCGATTAATGATAATGATAATTATCGATAATTATTGCGGATGCGAATGAAGTTTTTAAAAAATAATTATTTTCAAATTTTACAAGGGGTCGACTAATAAATAAAAGCGATTATCAGTTTTTATGTTTGAGCGTAGAGTTGTTGGGCGCCATTTAATACGAGTACATCAGTCGCTTTTTAACACCATTTTTTTCAGAGGTAATTTTTTTTTATGAAAAACTATGATTAATATAAAAAAAAAAATAACAATAAAAGACTTGGAGTGAGCAGTCATACACTTAATAAAAAAAACCACTAATAGATTTAATTAACAAATATATAAGAATAAATCACTATGATGGAATTAAGTTGAAGAATATAAATATAAATAAAAATATATTATATATATTTAAGTAGATAAATATATAAATATATATAAATATATAATAATGTTGTGACGTATAGAAACTGCGGATATATAAATAGAACTTTTTTTACACACGTACGTAAGTAATTTAATTATTAATAATTGATCAGCTTTAGAATTTGATTCTCAAGCGGAAGTTTTAAATAATTGAGGGTCTAATTTTAAAGCATTTGTTTTTCTCGAAGAATGAAAATGCGTTTGTACTTGCAATCATTCGCCCAATGGGATTGAAACAATATGATTTTAGGTGAAGATAATTATAATTGTAATTGAATATATAAATTAATTTATTTATTAACGAAGCGGAAAAGTAATAATATTTTTAAGATTAAGTAACTCGAGTTCCTGTCGCTAAATAAATGCTTTTCTATATTATATGTAACGTTGGTGAGGAATATTTATTATTATTATTATTATTATTATTATTATTATTATTATTATTATTATTATATTATTAATTATTAATTATTATATTTGAATTATTGATACTATATTTACATGAGTGTATAGTGAGGAATCGGAAGGTTTATGAAGTGCTTCTTTTACTCAGTAGTGCGGGGGATTTCGATTTATTGTGAATTATTAATTATTAATTATTAATAATCTGATATCCAAACGGGTAGTCGCCCATCGAAGGTTAGTCAAGTACCTCGTGATTATTAGTGATCGATTTTTAAGGGTAATTATTAAGCGTAAGAATTAATTTTGGGTTTTTACGAACGAATCTCATTTGATCTGTAATTGTAATGTGAAAGTATAGGGTTATATTTTTTTTAGGATGGCTAATATACGATTTAACTTTGTAAAGTATCAAGCAATCGAAAAAATTGGGGGGTGTTATTAAGGTTAAAAAGCTGCCCGGTTGGTTTTTCTACTGATGGAAATTTTATTTTTACGGAAAATTAATTATTTTATTAAATTTTTGATACTAAAAAATTTAATAATTAAATAAAAAATAAAATTTCAAATTCTTTGTTTTTTACAATTTAATATTTTCCAATTTTTGGTCCGAAAAATTTAGATTTAAAATATTATCTTTAATTTGGTAAAAGGTTTAAAAAGTGATTTTTAATTTAAAAAAAAATTTAATGGATCAAAAAATCATTTTTTTGGATAAAATACACTTGATAAATATTTAGCAAAAATAATTGGACATTATATAATCCAAAATAATTAGATAAAAAAATTTGTATATTCAGACTTTACATAAAAAACATTATTTTGTTTCACAAAGAAAAAATCAATGTCAATAAAAATAATTGTTTCCGTCAGCGTATCGGCAATTTAGTTCAGTACCATATTATTTACCATCTATTTATATCGGATATTTTTTACAAAGAAAAGTTGTAAAGAGTAATCGATAGAGCTTTTCGTGTACATTGCGGTGACAATCGTCCTACAATGTAATCTAATAAATGAAGTACATATTAAAGAATAAAAATGTATATTTTTTCCGAGAATCATCGAGGCTTGACAACAACGAATTGTATTCCAGGTTTAAAGAAAAATAGACAGAAAAGATAAAGGGTGAATAGAAAAATACAGATAATAAATAAGTCAGGTTCTGGTTAACAGTAAAGAGTACAGAGTACAGAGCACAAGGGGAATAGAAACCCGGGCAGCAATTTACATGCATATTACATTATGTCATCGTTTAGAAGTTAAATACGTACGTGTGCTCGCGAATTCTTTGCCGGAGGGAAATATAATATGATATTATTATTAAAATATAAAAATAAATAAATAACGAGTTATATTTTCATCGGGAGGGAATCGACTGTAACTAGACGAGTATTAATATTTAATAAACTTTATTATTTGGACTTTTTTACTCGTACGAACAAATAAGTGATAGAGTTACCGAACCTCGCTACTAGCTGTTCCTAAAGCAACAATGAATGAGTGATAATGGATTTTAAGGATAAGATGCTGTTTATTATTATTGATTAATTATCAATTACTAATTATTAATTATTAACTATTAATTATAACATTTTAAGTAATAAAAAACGACTGCCGCTCCTTTATTTATAATTTCATATTTTTTTACCGTGTGCTTAAAAAAAAATCTCTGAAAATTTGACATTTATTTATAAATAAATAATTATAGTTTTTCAATCACCTCTGAATTTCTCCACCTCAGCTTTTGCAAAAAAAAAACAATTTTTTATTGATAAAAAATTTATAGAAGTTAACTTTTAGTCTCGTTAAAATTTCCAACGAGTTAAAAAAGTTAAATTTCTAGATAAAAATATTTGGGAGTTTATTACTGAGTAATTAATAAATTTCCTTGTAAAATGTGATGCGACTGAGTACTCAAAAGTAAGAAAGCGACTAAAAAGGAGAATAAAAAATGCGATGCAGGTAAAATTAAACGAAGGGAAGGGGTTTTGGTTTTAAATCGTTGAGTTTTTTAATATTTTTATGTCTTATTATTAAAGTACCTCATTAATTGATTAATTTATTACTATTTATTATTACAATTATTAACTAAGTTATTAATTAATTAATTATTGTGAATTATTAATATTGAAGAATTAAGTTATGAATTTTTATCACCAATATAAATGATTAATTATTGAGTCGCTCGCGACAAAGTATTTTGTTAATTTATAAATTTTTTCAGATCTAAATCTGTCTTTTTTTTAAAAAAACGATAAAAAAAAGTAAAAAAAAAAATTGACTATTAAATGATACTATTGATATGGTAGCGACTAATTCTTGTGAGAGATTGCCATGTGTATATCTAATTAATGTAATCGC